TGGAGAAACTCAGCAGGTCTGGTAGCATCTGTGGAAAGAAAGCAGAGTTAATGTTTTGAGTCTAGTGACCCTTCTTTAGAATTCCAATTTCTGTCTTTGTTTCCAATCTTCAGCAACCACAGTTATTTGTTTCACTTAAAAAAAATGATCGGTTGGTCAGTCAACCTAAATTGATGAAAGGGAAATCAGAAAGAAAACACAAACCTGTTGCAGTATTTTAGTGGAGAAGGGGGAAACAAGTGAGAATATTGTGTATTTGGATTTTTAGACGGGGTTCAATAATATCCCACACAGGTTCATAAACAAACATTGGAGCACATAGGATGAAGGATCCTATGCAGGATTGGTTAACAGGAAGAAAACACAGTAAGAATAAATGTGCCATTCTCAAGTTGGCAGATGGGACAAGCAAGATTCAGTGCTTGGGCCTGAACTTTTCACAATTGATATCAATAATTTGGATGTGGTGACCAAATGTAATATGTCCAAGTTTTCAGATGACACACCACCGAGTGGGAATGTACTTTGTGAGGATGATGCAAAGGGGCATCAAAGGAAGTTGGACAGACTGAGTGAATGTGCAAGACCATGGCAGATGGAATATAATGTGGATAAATGTGAGATTACCCACTTTGGTAGGAAGAATATAGATGCAGGACATTGCTTAAATGATGGAAGAGTTGAAGATGCATGCATCCTTCATTAGTCATGGAAAGTTAACATGCAGGTGAAGGCAAATGGTATGTTGGCCTTTATAGTTAGCGGATAACAAGGGGAAAGATAGCTTGCTTCAATTATATAGAACTTTGGAGAGACCGCTCTTGGAGAATCCTCTCACTTGAGGAAAGAAAAACTGGTTCACCTGACTAATTCATGGAATGGTGGGATTGTCCTATGAGGAAAGATTGAGGAGATTGAGTTTATAATCTCTGGAATTTAGAAAAATGAGAGGTGATCTCATTGACACTTGAAGGATTCTTAAAGGGCTAGATAGGGTAGATGCAGAAAGGATGATTCCCCTGGTAGACGATCTAGAAAAAGGGATCATAGACTCAAAATGAGGGGAAAACATTTGCGGCTAAATAAAGGAAGAATTTTTACATATGGATAGTAAATCTTTGGAATAGTCTAACCCTGAGGGCTGTGGAAGCTCTGTCATTGAGTATTTTCAGGACGGAAATTGATAAATTTCTGGAGACTAATCACTTCAGGGGATATTGGGATATCGCAGGAAAATGGCATTGATGTTGATGATGAGCCATGATGTGGAATGATATCACAGGCAAGCGGGACTGAATGGTGTATTCCTGCTTCTATCTTCTGAACAAATAGTTCAGTTATAATTTTGGAAAAGGTAAGTAAATACTGACACACAGATGTTGGGGGCAAGAAATCCAACTTTCTGATGCCTAAGGTAGTTGATGCATAGAGGAAGATCTCCTGGCTATGGGGTTTAGAACCAGGGGATACAGTCTCAGAATAAAAGGGAAGTCAGGTAGGACTCAGATTTTTACTCACAGGATGGTGAATCTTTGGCATAGAGAATTCCAAAGAGTGGTAGAAGCTCAGTCATTGTTTCAGAGCTGTGCTCCAACAGTTTGTAATTTCAAAGAAACATGTTGGATTACAACCTGATGTTGTGGGAATTCTGACTTTGTCCACTCCAGTCCAACACTGGCACCTCCACATCATTATTAACTTCAACAGATCAACAGATTTCTAGCAACTAATAACATCAAGGGATGTGGGAATAGAATGGGAATATAGCATTGAGGTAGATGATCAGCCATGATCTAGAATGGCAGAACAGGCCTGAGGGACTGAATGGCTTGCTCCTGCTTCTATATTCTTTATGTCGTATTCCTAGATCATATTGAAAGATGCCACCAGATACATAAAATGTAGAATAGGAAGAATGTAATAAAACAGATGACTAATGTACACGGTCAAACCGTGAGTGGCATTGAGAAGGTTGGGTTTTATTGTGCAACTTTAACTGCTCTGAGAAAGTAGAGTGGGGCCCCTTCTTGGAAGCGGTTTGATAAAACTCAGTTGCTATCAAGGCACTTCGAGGAAAAACTTACAGACAACCACACAATGGAGTCACATATAGGCCAGATCAAATAAGGATGGTATGTTCTTTCACGAAAAAAAAAATACCTTAAATAAATCAAGAAGAAGCTTTTCAAAATCAAAATATTACACAGACCATATTATCACACTCTTCAGCACAACTTCAAGTGGCTTGTCAACTTGAAAGCCATTGATTTTGACTGATGAGCAAAATTCCTTTCAGATTAAAAGGACTAATTTCTTTCTTAAAAAGTGTTTATGTTTACAAGTGCACAATGAAATGATTAGTGTACAAGAGTTTGCGCACAGTTAGCATAAATTTGTCACAAAAATATGAACTTAATTAGCAGACCTGTTCCCTGTTCCAAATGAAAAAAGGGTTGACAAACACTTTTTAAACAGTGAATACTGGACACTTTTAAAGCCCATAATAATGACAACTAGAAGGTGAGCATCTATTTTTATAATTTGTCATGTTAAACTGCCCAAGATTCAACACAGGTATCTATGTAACAAATATTATTGAACCATTCGTTGAAGTGCATCATTACACATGATGTTAATGGGTATAGTTCCAGTGATGATATTCTTTCATATTTGCATTAAGTGTTCTATTGTCGTGATTTATGTCCACTTCATGGTAAAAAAAAAACATGTTTTCAGATGGTTCCCTATAAATTCTACTGCTTTCAACCCAAGAGGATACCTTAAACTAACAAGGCTGCTTAAATTATTTAAATTAGGAGCCCATAACACATTGCCTGCACTGAGTCCTGATTGTTCATCTACCCCTTGGTGCAAGTTCACCTGGATTGGCTCCAGTTAAACAAACCTTGATTTTAAAATTTTCATCCTTGTTTTAAAATCACTCCAAGACATTGCCTCTCCCAATCCCTGTCATCTCCTTCAGGCCAACCCTAAGATATTCATGCTCATCTAATTCAGGTCTCGAGTAAATCAATTTTAATCATTCCACCATTAAGGACGGTGTTGTTAGTTGTTCAGAATCCAAGCTCTGGAATTCTCTCCCTAAACCTTTTTACCCCTCCACCTTTCTTTCCCACTTTAAATTCCACGCAGATCTACTTTGTCAATGAATCTATATTTATATAGTCTGCCCCTTGCCAATCTTTCCTTTAGTCCAGTATCTGATTGTTTTTCTGAACCATATTTTATATTTGTGGAAAGTCTGATTCTCAGGAAAGATGCTTAGCACTTAACTTGCCATTGGTGACATCAGCAGCTGGCTGTCATGGTGATTCCAGCTGGGAGTTTCTTCTTTCAACAGTGTCTGATCTTGATTTGTGCTTAAGGAGCTCTCTGATTCAGAGCTTCCCATTTTTTTGATACCCTAGTCATACAGCCCAACTAATAAGTCAAAATAAAACAACATCCCTAACCGGGCTAAGGAGTAAAAGTTCTTTACACCTTACAAACTTGCACTATTCCACATCAAAGTTGCAACGTGCTAACCTAGAAATATTATTTAGGAGCAAAATACTGCAGATGCTGGAAACCGTACTGAAAACAAAAAAAAGTTGCTCTGACCAAGAGCCAACTAGACTTGACATGTTAGCTGCTTTCTCTCCATGGATGCTGCCTGGCTCGCTGTGATTTCCAGCATCTTTTGCTTTCACTAGAAATATTGTTTGCTGTACTTCTTATTTGTATGTATATTCTGGGATTTTCAAATTATAGCTCTCATGCTCTTCTAAAACAACAGGTTAGACTGTGTGCAATCTGTTCCACTGCTAAAATGATCACAGATAAGTTGGCATTGAGATCCGCTGCTCACACCAGTAAACTTTTTAAAAGTACCTGTTGCTCACCGTGATTGAGTGTAATCATGTAAAGAGTTGGATAGTTAAGGATTCTCAAAGGTCAAACTTTGGAACAAAACATAAATTGTAAATTACTTCAGTCAAAACACCCCTCTTTAAAGAAACATACCATTTATTGAATTACGGGAAAGACGATTTTATAAAATCTTCAAGGCAGCTGTGGATTTATCATCTCCCACTCACTGATACTGCATCAATATTTGACAAGAAAACTAGTACTAGTAACTAGTGATGGCTGGTAATAATAAGGTACAGAAAATGAAGACTTGTGGTGACAAAAATTCATTCCAATGGAAAATGTCCTATTCTTTGTTCAAATAAACACAAAGAAAACGAGGGCTGATTTCAGCAAGTGATTCAACCAGTCTGCAAAATTTAGAATATGTTTTTGGATTGGATAAAGTTATTGTAATCACTTAAGAAACTGTTTCATGAGAGGGCTAGGTTTTGTGTATTGGTCAATTAGCTTGGGGCAAATTTCCTCCTTCAACTCCATATCTTTTGATCACTCCACACTTTTATATATCCACTCTCCTAATAAAATACACTTTAATTACAACGTCCTAATCAACTGAAGATCTACGATTTTATTAACAATATAAAAGTATGCTGGACTCAGGCTGATATTTATGGCCGTACAGTACATGTCTCTCAGAACCTATTAAACCTCCTCTTAACTATCAGTTACAATTGCGTCAGAGGACGATCGACCTTGGTTGAATCTGAGGCCACTTTTTAACTAAGCAAAATACACGTCTATTTTTAGTTAAGTTTTCAGTAACATTTCATTCCCTGCCTTGGATGACTGACCTACTCTCAAGACAGAATGGTGTCACAACCAATGAGGTTAAAATCAGAAATGATTCCTATATCGCGATTATAAATTGCAAATTAACGCTTGAAACAACGAAATGTAATAGAAGCTGGATGCCACATTTTTCTTTCACTGATGTTGTTAACTTAAGAATCAAAGTTTGGGGAATGGATTCACTTACAATGTATTTGCTTGTAAAGTAGCAGCATATGCCACAGAGTTTCCTTTGCAGTAGATACCAATTGACTTGTTGCACTGAGAGCTGCCCTTACCTGGCACCTGCACACAATATCAGCATCAGTGGCCAACAGGTCCACCACCTTCCCCTTGCCCTCATCTCCCCATTGCGCACCGAGGGCCACTGTCACTTTATTGCCGCCGTTGCGAGGCCGTTTGCAGCCGGTGTAGTTTCTATGCTCACTGCCCCGTCGGCTGGATTCGCTCATTGCTGCTTCCCGCTGAAACCCAACAAAAGCGCGCACTGCTCCCGCACTTCCGCGTGCACGAGCGCCGCGGCCGCGCGTTCACCCACACCCCCTCCCCACTGCTGAGGGCGTGACCATAGGGCCTTCTTTCTTCCGGCTGGGATCTTCCTTGCATCAGGCAGTGAGCAGCCCGGGACTGCCGTGAATCATCAGTGGATTATTTTCCCAGAAGAGTAAAATAGTTGTGGACGTTGCAAATATGAAATAGAAGTGGAAAATATGTTGGAAGCACTTAACAGGTCTTTGGAAAGATAGAGTTAACCCCTTTCAGGTTGTGTTTCACTATTAGGACCTTTAAAAAACCTCAGGATACCATTACTGTATCATAGCACATCATCTGAGGATTTAGAGGTCTCACACTCCATCTTACCTCAGAGAATTTGAAACATGACAGGCTTCTACAAACATGTTGCTGTATGTAACTTAATAGCTTAATATTATCCCAGACACTGATATGCCAGAACAATGCAGTGTACATGATACCTAAATGTAACAGACGTCTGTTGGATTCTTCAATCCCACAATAGGTACACCTGGTTTCTTCTATTACAGGAGATAATATAAGTATTGCCAAATCAGGTAAGATACCCATGTTGGAGGCAAAATTACATTCAGTAATGTTTAGTAGTGGTGGCTACCTACAAATAAGATGCTAATTATAAAGAAGATGCCAATATTTTAGTGGAAACTGGCTGGAAAATTAACCAGACAACAGATGTGGACATCAGTGAATTCCAACAATCTGCAGCCTCTATTTCTGCCAGTATGCGCAGCTGTGCCAGTCTGTAGATAGGGCATTGACTATCAAGAGGACAGAGCTATTTTCTTTTCCGTTCTTTCATAAAGAAGTAATATCTAAGCAGGCTCTACTTAAAAGTAACAAGGCTGGAGCTACAAGTACAATCAAAAGTAAAGGTTACACACACTTGTATAGCAGCAGAGAGTATGCTGCCTCTCTCTCTTTCTTCAAAGGTCTCCTGATTCAATTTTTACAAAATCAGTTAAATGGTCCAAAAAGCACAGTTCTAAAGCCATTTGAGGAGAAAATACAACTTAAGAACACTAAAAAAGCAGTTCTTTACATTAAAATGTGGAGATGCCAGTGTTGGAGTGGGGTGGACAAAGTCAGAAGTCACACGACACCAGGTTATAATCTTCACCTGATGACAGAGCAGTGTACTGAAAGCTTGTGATATTAAATAAATCTGTTTGGACTATAACTTGGTGTCATGTGACTTCTGGCAATTGAAAAAGTTAATGATCTACAAGGATAAGACTTTGAAGTGAGAATATAAACCGGGCACCAGGATGATTACATCAGACATGCTAAACAGATTGCCCAACTCAGAGAAAGACTAAGTTGATGCACAAGACTACAAAGTTGAAGAATTTCCTAAAGTTGATCTATTACACTTTGGCCAGAGCCAGTAAGGATAGTTGCAATTGCAAATGCTGAGGATGAACAAGAGTTGTGAAGAATCATTATCCAGGGGCATTCTGACAGTATGCTGAAAAACATACCGAAGAATATTTCTTCATTTTGGCGTTGCAGAGATGAACTTGCAAAGGTAATTCATTTTCGAGAGTAAGCAGTTCCTATTACCAAAAGAATTATGCCTAGATATTATGTCCATTTTACATCAGGTACACATGGGTATTGTACACGTAAGATGGATGGCCCATTAGTTTGTCTACTGGCCAGGGATGAATCAGGATATTCAACGATCTGAGTGAATGTGAGATATGCCAAACATATCAACCTCACTGACAAAGGAAGCATCTACATCCACACAATATTCTAACTACTCCTTTACTGAAAGTAGCAACAGACCAATTCATAGTGCACTAAGAAGATTACATCCTTATGTTAGGTTACTTCACCAAATTTCCCATTGTTTGATGACTTAATGCCAGTAACACAATGAGCGCTATCTTCAGTTTATTTGGTATTGCGGAATGGCTAGTATCTAATAATGGTTGACAATACACAGCCAAACTATTAAAAGATTTATATAAGTGGAATTGATACATATCACATCATTATATCACTAACATATTCAAACTGTAGTCCAACATATGGTGTATACTATCAAATCAATGATAATTAATTGTCAAGCAACAAAACAGCTTTTCACTTTGCATTGTTACAGTGGATAAGGAATTACAATTTCTGGTACAACTAATGCTTGGAAACCAGGTGATAACAAACCATTTCATCATTCCAAGGCACAAGACTTTTTTCAAAGACAGAAGAATGTAAAGACAAAGAAATTAACAATATACATATGTGTACAGGGGTGCACTATACAATAGGATGGGTGCCTAGCAAAGCCAAATGTCACTTCAATGGTGAGGCACAATTGATGCAAGGTTGTGGCCCTATCATGTAAGGTGAAGGACTGCTTAGTTTTTCAAAGAAACCTAAGTGCCGTGGAGACTTGAGTAACTTTTTAAAATAATTATAGGTACTGTAAGATAGATACTCAATTAGCTTTATAAAAGGATATACTGTAAGGTAAAGGCATGATCAACTTTACAAAGCTTGTAGGTATGCGATGAATAAGGATGTTTGAGAAACTGATGTGAAGATGGAGATGTAAAGCAAACTGCAGTTGTGAGCAGTATCTCCAGTTTGCACACTTGTACATTAGATCACCTTGGCTGTGTTTGCATTTTTACTTGTCTTTGTATCGGGTGTTTCCTGAAACACCACAGAGAAAGAAAAAGATACCCGACAAACGACCAGGTAGAGGACTACGAAAACTACTCATTAGAGAGTGCAAATTAGGAATCCAAATACAAAAGCCTGAACACTGGCAAATGTTTCCAGAATGTACAATGATCCCAGGTCACACAAAGCCATGACTGATCATGATGCAACATTGCGAACAAATAGAAGCCAGCTCAAACCAATATACAGCACAGTAATCATGCATGAAGAAAGTGAGGAAGAACACTCTGTCAATGATGATTGAGTAGTGATATTGAGTGACATCAACAAACAGTAAGACAAACAAGTTGTCAAATAATGTAATAGAAAAAATGCATCTCTCCAAATGGGTATACTATCACCAGATTTGGATGAGTTTGAAACGTTAACCTCATAAGCTGTGTTTTATCTTTTGTATGATCATTGAACTGGCAATATGTGCCTATGTAAGCAACTTAGGATTTTTTTTAATCCTTGGGAAAATGGGAATATTGTGTTATATCTTGTGGTTAGTATGTCAGTGTATCTATAAGAGACATGCTCCTGATTTTGTCACTATCGTAGCATGTGACCTGAGGTATAAACATCTCAGACTCTATCTTGCCTTAGATCACTTAAAGCATAATGCATTACAAGAAGCATGTTGTTCTGTAAAAATAACCATATTGATGTTAGCCCAGACATTTAAGAGCCTGTGAATGGAATGTTTATATATAATAACTAGCAGTAATAAACATCTGTTGGATTATTGAATACCATGATGTCCACGTCCATTTTTCTTTGTTACGAAGGAGTTTATAAGCATTGCTGCATCAGTTAAAATGCCTTGCTTGCAGCAAGGCCAAAACAGCTTTTTCCACTGATTGGACTGCCTTTGGGAGGAGCTAGTCTGTTGTTCTACATTAGTACTAAATTATTCAGTTACCAGTTATGTAACATAGACTTAGTTACAATGTCTTTGGAGACAACAATATTTCTTACCTAGTGTTACTGTAATTAACCAGTCTTAAGCTAACACAATTGTTTTCTTATTATGTATTATTAGTTTATTATGTAATAAACTACTTTTAGTTACACAAATATATGCTTCTTCTGCTGTAGACATATCAGTAGTTAATCATTCACTACTTAATATTAGTGGGCCAGGAGATAGAGATTAAAAGAAGGCTTGGTGACTTCAAATCAACAAAGATACTAGCACAATCAGGCACCTGCTGTGGACATTTCTTACAACATGGTGGCAGATAATTCAGATTGCTATTTGAAGTGAAGAAAACACCTGCTATGCAAAGAATTCAGATCAATTTGAAGAGAAGATGGAACTATGGAATTCTGCACCAGAAAAGTGTGTTAAAGAACACAGCTGTTTTAACAAAGGAGCTGCAAGGCATTGGCAGCTGCAACAGCTGAAGCAGCAACCAATTGGTTCAGACTAGAAAGGCTTTAGCAGTAGGGCAGTCTTTCTTCAAAATTCTTATAAAAGCTACAACTAGGGAAATAAAATACAGGAAAGCTAATGAGGATATCCTCCCTTGTGCTACAAGGGAGAAATTCTGAGTCACGATCCAGGAAAGTAAAGGGTGACATCAGATCCCAGATGTAAGCTGAGACCATATGTGGAAAGAGTGAAAATCATTAATGTCACAGTTAATGAAACAAGGCAACATTCAGTATCAGAATTAAAATGAGAATTTTTTTCCAATCAAAGAAATCCTTATGTTTCAGTCAAATTCTTCAAAAAATGAGGTAGTTCTTTAAAAAGTTCTTCAAAACAGCCAATAGGTCAAAAAAGATAGAACCTAAAAGTCGAAGATATAAATTTTTGCAAAAAAGTAGACAGACATTCTGAAGCAAAAATTTTTTTAAATTGTCCAACAGAAATTATTTAAAATTTAAAAGTGTGAGATGCTATTCTTCAGGTTAAAAAGAGAGCAGCTGTTTTGGGGAAAAAAGACAAATGGCATGAATCAGACATGTTGTTGAAAAAAGGCACAAAACCCATCAAGACGAAGGGAAAAACAGCTCAAAACCACCATCTTACATTTTTGTTACAGGAAAATAAAAAAAAAATTCATTTACTAAAAAATTTGAGAAGATTTACAACATCTCAAATAATTTAAAATTAACAAAGCTTTATTGAAAGAATATCTTTACAGTACAGAGGTTAAAAAACTCCAACCATTTAAAACAGAGCAAAAAAATCCAAAACAAAAATAAGGAAAGGATCTTTGCTTCTTTATTAAAGCAGGAACTCATTGTAATTTTGCAGCTTATGAGATGATTTGTCTTGCTTTATCAGCAATTAAAATTTAATTACAATTTCAAAAATTATTGTTAGTTCTGAATATTCTGGACAAGCTTTATAGTGGTTGAATTAAAAGCACAATTCAAACTTAATGAAGAAAAGCTGAACTTACAAAATTTATTTAATTTTAAGAAGTTCTGAATTTAAATTGAGAATTTAATTTAATCAAGGAAATAGCAAAAGTTATTACATCTCCAGGCAGTTTCAAAATTACAGATAGTTTTAGCAGAGAATTAAATTGGTCAGCATAGAAGAAACAATTCCTGAGATACAGAAGCGTTTTAGGTCCAAATCATAAGCAGGACAAGTTAACACACTGTTTTATTCAGTGAATAAAAGCATGTTGTTAACAGACAAAATTTTTTTTTAAAAATTAAGTCTTAAAAGCATCTGGTAATTATTTCATTTGGTGATACAATCATATTGTGGAGAAAGCAAGAGTTAATCATTGAATATAGTTTCCAGGAGAATCTGTTACCAACTTAATCTTTATACATTGTCTGCATCTTGTGAAAACGTGGAGCATTACAGTCAGAACTAATTCATTAAATAATTGTCATCAGCTTTTCTGGTTGATCTCTTTCAGATCCTTTTACAATTGAAGATCTCACATTGGAAATCTTATCCAGATTGTGACGGAAGCTGAGATTCAGGAAAATCTGGGGAACAGAAGGACAAATTTATTGTGGAAGACCATCAGAACTTACCGACCTAAGATGGCATAAACACTTGTAATCACGTTACAAACCAACAGAGTGTTCAAATCTTTTGATGCGAGGAGCCACTGTTCAAGATGTAGAACAAAAAAAACCATGCAAATAAAAGCGAAGTCCATATCTATTTCAAGAATGTCACCCTCACAAGAAAGTGGGACATTTTCAAAGATTGTGCAATACCAAGAAACAATCTTTAAACAATAGAAATAATGCTGGTTATATCTTTACCAAACACTTTTGAAACTGATTACTGATTCGCAGCTCACACTTCCATTATATCATGTATCCAGAGATGATAACATTTACCATGTAAGATTCTTGGTAGTGTGGATAAGCAGAAAGATCTCGGTGTCCATGTGCATAGATCACTGAAAGTTGCCACCCAGGTTGACAGCGTTGTTAAGAAGGCGTACAGTATGTTAGGTTTTATTGGTAGAGGGATTGAGTTTCGGAGCCATGAGGTCATGTTGCAGCTGTACAAAACTCTGGTGCGGCCGCACTTGGAGTATTGCGTACAGTTCTGGTCACCGCATTATAGGAAGGATGTGGAAGCATTGGAAAGGGTGCAGAGGAGATTTACCAGGATGTTGCCTGGTATGGAGGGAAGGTCTTATGAGGAAAGGCTGAGGGTTTTGAGGCTGTTTTCGTTAGAGAGAAGAAGGTTAAGAGGTGACTTGATAGAGACATACAAGATGATCAGAGGATTAGATAGGGTGGACAGTGGGAGCCTTTTTCCTCGGATGGTGATGGCTAGCACGAGGGGACATAGCTTTAAATTGAGGGGTGATAGATATAGGACAGATGTCGGAGGTAGGTTCTTTACTCAGAGAGTAGTAAGGGCGTGGAATGCCCTGCCTGCAAAAATAGTAGACTCGCCCACTTTAAGGGCATTTAAATGGTCATTGGATAAACATATGGATGATAATGGAATAGTTTAGGTTAGATGGGCTTCAGATTGGTTTCACAGGTCGGCGCAACATCGAGGGCCGAAGGGCCTGTACTGCGCTGTAATGTTCTATGTTCTATGTTCTATGTTTTGAAGAAATATATAGCCATTCCTATGGGAAACTAATGAATCATCTGAACCAGACATAACAGAGTTCATCTCTAGATATCAGAGATAGCAAGAAATGCAGATGCAGAAGTCAGAGACAACACAGTGTGGAGCTGGAGGAAAACAACAGACCAGGCAGCATCAGAGGAGCAGGAAAGTTGATGTCCCTGATGCGACCTGGCCTGCTGTGTTCCTCCAGCTCCATACTGTGTTGTATCATCTCTGGATATGCAGTTCAGTTCAAGCTTGATACAAGATTGAATGTTGATCTGATTGTACATGAAGCACGTAGATCAATGTCTAGGATTAAAAGAATGTTCATTTTTTTAAGACATAAATACGATCAGTTCATAGCCGGTTATATCATCCAGAAGCCAACGTCTTCACTTCTAAACACAAAGGAATGGCTGCATTAAAGTTGAGGTAGGCTTTTAATCAATTAAGAAAACATATGTCATTGAGCATCTTGACATATATCAGCAACAAGAAAACTTTATTGGTCTCAAAAGAATGCTGACCAAACCCAGGAAGGAGCATACATGAATTGAGATCAGCCACATTGGTATTAAATAGTTGTTTCATATTATCAACATAAGAGAAACTATCAATTTTGCTGGGCTGGACAAATTGTTTACTTGTTCCTCATCAATAAGAAAAGCCTTTAGAACATTGAGTCAGACAGCACGGAAACAGATCCTTCGGTCCAACCAGTCCAAACCTAACATAATCTCAAACTAAACTAGTCTCACCTGCTTGTTCCTGGCCCATATCCCTCCAAACTTTTCTTATTCATGTACTTATCCAAGTGTCTTTTAAATGTTGTAATTGTACCCATATCTATCACTTCCTCAGGAAGTTCATTCCGCACACCCCTCATGTCTTTTTTTAAATCTCTCTCCTCTCACCTGAAAAATATACACCTAGTCTTGAAATCCCATCCCAGGGAAAAGACAGCTAACTCTATTTATACCCCTCATGATTTTAAAAATCTTTATAAAGGTCACCTCTCAACCTTCTATGCTCAAATGAAAAAAGTCCCAGCCTTTCTTTATGACTCAAACCTTCCATACCCAGCAATATCCTGGTAAATCTCTTCTGAACCCTCTCCAGCTTAATAATATGCTTTCTATAACTCGGCAGCCAGAAGTGGACACAGTATTTCAGAAGAGGCCTGACCACCTCAACATGACTTCCCGACCCCTATACTCAAAGGACTGAGCAGTGAAGGCAAGCATGCTAAATGCCTTTTCAACCACCCTATCTAGATGTGACGCAAACTTCGAAGAATTATGTACCTGAACCCATAGGTCCCTCTGTTCTACAACACTACTCAAAGCCCTACCATTAGTTGTATAAGTCCTTCCTTGCATTTATCCAGGTTGAACTTCGTCTGCCATTTTTCAACCCATTGATCTATTTGATCAAGATCCCTTTGTCATCTTAGAAAACCATTTCTACTGTCTACTATGCCACCAATTTTGGTGTTGTCTGCAAATTTACTAACCATGCCTTTTATATTCTCAACCAAATCATTAATATAAATGACAAACAAAACAGGACCCCAGAACTGATCCTTTTGAACACTGCTGGTGATAGGCCTCTAGTTGAAAAAACAACACTCCACCACCTGTCTCTGTCTCCTGCTATTCAACCAATTATGTATCCAATTGGCAAGCTCAATCTAAATCCCATGTGACCTAACTTTACTAATTAGTACCATGTAGAATCTTGTCAAGGCTTTACTAAAGTCCAAGTAAACAATGCTTACTGTTCTGCCCTCAATCTTTTTGGTAACTTCCTCAAAAAAAACTCAATGAAGTTTGTGAGACATGACTTTCCTCGCACAAAACCATGTAGACTATCCTGAATCAATGTTTGCCTCTCTAAATGTCTACAAATCCTTTCTTTTAAAATCACTTCCAACAATTTACCCACAATTGGAGTCAGATTCACAGGTCAATAGCTCCCCAGTTTCTCCTTACAAACTTTCTTAAATGAAGGAACAACATTAGCCGCCCTCCAGTCAACAGGCACCTCACCTGTAGTTATAGATGATGCAACTATTTCTGCAAGTGGCCTTGCAATTTCCTCCCTTACTTCCCACAAAGTCCTGGGTTATATTAGATCAGGTCTGACAAGATAACTGTGGTGGAACTACCATTTGAAACCATTAGTGAACTCTTAGTACAATCATTCCAGAAAACACAATATTCAAAGCAAAGATTGCATACACTATACATCCAGTATCACTGACATTGAGAAACAAAACAATGTTTATATCAGCTAAATCTACTTTGTGACAAAATCAAAAGGAGAAGATTATTTCTTTAACCAACTCTGTTGTTTACCATTATGCACTTTGAGGAAATTAAATATCCTCTGGACAGGTCAATAGTCGACCATCTAAAATTTTCAGTGAAAGATATTCAAGAAACAGAAGAATTAATAGCACACAATGATAAAGAGCATCATCTGAATAGAGTATACTCAAGCAAACAACCACCTACTCCTCCAAGTCAAGATCAAGTGCATAAAGTCAGAGACTTAGGGAAAAGGGATCATTGTAAACTTAAAATATTTGTCTAAGCAATTGCATAATGGATTAACAGGAAAAAAAACAGTTCATGGTAGTTATTGTACAAGGCAGTTAGCCTGAAAGAGTTAATTCTGATGCTTCAGTATCACGCAACTCACATGACCGTCTCTGGATGGAGCTAGTCAGTTGTTCTAGCTTAGTTCTAAGCTAATCACTTCTCAGTCTATAGCCATGTAGCATAGTTTTGGTTACAACCTCTTAGGAGATAACAATATCTCTTGCCTAGTGTCAATGTAGTTCACCGATCTTAAACTAATGTAACCTGTTATCTTTTGATTATGTATTAAACTACCTCTTTTTATTCAACTTTGTGCCTCTTTTAACAAAGGCTTGTTAATGGTTAATCCTTCACCTCTTTGTTCTCGTAAACCCCATAGACGACTATCACAAAAAGGGCTGGTCACAACAAATCTACGTAAAGAAGAAGCAGGCAACAATTGTTGACATCTGTTAAAATAGTGACAGAGAGAAATGACAGATAGGCATGATGGAAATAGTATCAGAAGCTACATGACAAAAATAGACCTGACAGGAAATAAATAAGACACTTAAAGAAAGTGCATGCATAAACAAGACTTTTGATAGTTTACACACAGATAGAATCTAAAATGTTGTAGATGAGGGTTGTACTTCAGTTTCGAAATTCTATGGTATCTACAAAAGGCAAGTTTGAAAAAGAATTCACGTGAAGTCAGGATAAGCAGGAGTTTCCTTTAGAGTCCATTGTCTCATGATTGCTACTTCAGTTGGGGAGCTATTACGAAGTAAAGCATCTTATGAATCAAATCTAAAGATGCTTCAATAAGTTTGCCTTTGCAGGAAGTACAAAAATCATATGAGACACAGACATGTTCACATCACAAAGGGACTTAATTATCATACAACCAGGTGCTGCTAATGTGCAGCAAATACAGGGCAGTGTTTCAAAGATAGTACTCAACAGGTTCACTTGAAGAGTGATTGACGCCACTAAACTCAAGTTTACCCCATTGAATAATCATCTGTGTGACAAACAGCAGATCTGGGATATAAAGCATTTCTGATGGTGATATATTTCACTCAGCCTGTCCCTCAGAATAGTGGTGGCTGGAGGATTATATTTCAGTGTATATGGCTGCAAGGGTAAATCTGAAAAAATAAATGTGAAGCCTGGATGATAAAGAATGTATTTTAGCTTCGTATTGTATCCCAATCATCACTCTTGTTATCACTCCATTCATTTGTGCACCTCTTCCTTCCCACTCCCTCTCTAATAAACCCTGACCATCCTGGAATTTCTCCAGAATTTTCTGCTTTTGTTTCGGATTTCCAGAATCCATAGTTTTTTGCCTTTATTCCAATATGTTTAGGTCCAACCTGTTCAATCTTTGCTCATTAGATAAATGCTTCATGTCCTGAATTAAAATAGTAAACTTTCTCTGAACTGTCACAATCCAAGTACATCCCACCTTAAAGACGACCCAGGTCAAGTCCCAGCTGCTCCAGGGATGTGTCGTAACACGTCTGAGCAGGTTGATTAAAAATATCTACCCAACATAAATAAGGGAACAACAACAATGGTATGAATCTTATTATTTTTGGGTGAAATGTGAGTTGCATCAGGTTTTATTGGAGGGTTTCTTATTTCAATGCCAAAGGAGTTTTCTCACTGTATCTTATCAAAATCACCTCATTAATTATCTACATTACCCCATGGCAGCTTTCATGTCTAATCCATCAAACTGACACTGACTCCACCCACCCTGGGCATTGTCCCAGTAATTTTCCCAGTTGCATTTGACATCTAGAGAACAGCAAGTGATGATAGGGGGTGCAGGTCATGGTGGGTACTGTCAGCACCAGGTTCCACCTGGTTGACACATAACCAGGCCTGATGAAGGGTCCTGACCTGAAACATTGATTTTCCTGCTTCTCTGATGCTGTCTGACCTGCTGTGCTCCTCCAGCTCTATGGTTATTGACTCTGTCCTTGCTATCTCCCAAAGTCTCCATGTCCTGTTTAACATCACACTATCCCAAGTGCCCCTTCCACCCATCAAACCCACGTGGAGAGCCACAATTTCCTCGCTGCACCCAGAATATTGACATTGCATCTTACTGATGCCTATTTTGCTTTCCTATGCTCCCGTAGCGGCCATGGTGGTGGTCACTGCCAGTAAATCCCATCCGTTGGCTACCATGCCCTCTAATGCTGCATGACAATGGACTCCAGGATTATATTCACCCCAGATCTCTGATTTACCTTGACAGGCAGTCCTTAGACATGACTGCCTGGGCCACTGACCACTGTTTGCAGCTCCCTGACTAACAATGGTTCTGCTGGCTGCGTGTGATGTGACAAGACTGACTTCTGCCCATTGTCCAGACTGTAATTGGACAAATACCCTGACTGTGAAATTCCCATGCAGAAAACTGACTGTGGCCTAGCCCCTGGGTTGTGTGCAGACTGTGCCAATGGCAGACAGTGCCAGGATCTCCTGGCTGACAGATCCCACCCTGGCTGACATACCTCCCGCTAGATAGATCTCAACTGACGTGTGGTAAGTGACTTGTTGTTGTATCTGCACAAGAAAGCAATCAATATAGCAGTACTGATTATCTTTGGCTGAAATGTTAATGAGTTAACAAGCATTGAAAATCATGGTAAGAAATAATCCCCCTTTAGCTGGCAGCTCACTGCTGCCTACTCAGAAACTTGCTACGCTGCTTGCCAAGAACATAAAAAATGGAGCAAGACATTTGCAACGTCAAGATTGGCCTCACTGGAATTCTTGTATGATTCAGCTGTCAATCTCACTAGAGCTCACATTGCTCAGGCCCCTTATAAGATTCTGCCCTATTGATCTATTCACCAACCCCCCCGCCATTCTCTGCACAGTTGTAACAAGGCCTCCCTATTTTTATGCTCCACTCCCCTTCCAACAGAGGACTACATCCTAGTTGCCTTTTTAATTAGAAGATAATTTGATTTAGGTGAACGATTAGGAGAAATTTACTGTTTTCCATCACCTTTACACCTACCTTGTAATTTAGAGCACTTTTAAGAAATTACTTTCTTGCAGTTCCAAAGTAGATATCTATTTTGAAATTGAAAGGAAAACAAGATTCATAAATATGAAACACATAATTCAATTGTTTATCATAAATGTTCATGCCTCCTGAAGTATTTGCAGGAAAAATTATGTAGTGATTTTAACAAGATCAGCCAGGTATGAATTCCCTGATTGAGGGTGTTAATCTGGTTCAATCTGTCTGACAGACATAAACAGGAGGGTCAGAGGTTCTGTTCACTCTGAGAGCTGGCTGTGAGGAAGCTGGATCAGTATTATGCATGTGTAAATAAAAGGTGACTTGGTAATGGGATACTGGCCTCTGTGGAGTTGTTTCAAATGATAAATCAAGAAATCCCAAAAATAGAAAGAAGATCAGAAAAGCTTTTTTCTAAATTTCTGAATATTCTATAACTCAATTGTTCTCCTCCTGTGAATGATGAGATTGGGTAAAGATCAGTTCTTAAGAAGAGTCATGTTACACTCAAAGCATTAACTTTGTATTTTCTCTACAGTTTCCATCAGACCTGCTAAGCTTCTCCAAAATTTTATGCTTTGATGTTGGGTCTTCTCTGTACAGCCCTGAAAGTATTCAATCTCTAGGCTTCCTAAACCAAAAATCAAATCTTGATAATTCTACATTGAAACCAAACACCTTCAGTGTTTACTCCAGCTATTGTAAATCATCTCACAGCAAACAGTTTTCCATTAACTCTCCAGGATAGCAAGCTTAGAAGATTCAGCAGATCTTCCTTCTGCATCTCTTTTAAGGCCTTTTTAAGGAGAAAGGCAGAAGGAAATTTATACTCCTGTCTCATGAATTGTACACTCTTCCAGGCCTGACTGGGGAATCTAACCTTTCTTACTTCTCCATGCCTCTAGCACTTTTCCTCATCTGAGGCTTACTGCACTCCCAGCAATGACCACCAATACCAGTAGCATTGCTGAGACATATCCTCTAATTGGCTAAGATAACAAGGTGTAGAGCTGGATGAACACAGCAGGCCAAGCAGCATCATAGGAGCAGGAAGGCTGACGTTTCGGGCCTAGAC